ACACACACACACACACACACACACACACACACACACACACACACAAACACACTCCATAGACACTAAAGGGCAAGGATTTTATGATTTATCAGAATAACTGGGTATGGTTTCTAATTAAGAAACTAGATCTGAAAAGAATAAATATTTGTTTAAAATTATTTGCAAGATTTATTTTAGTGTGTACAACTAACTCTATTCATTCTTCCATGCTGTTGTAACCGACAGTCTGGGTGCTCAATAACCACAGGTAGAGGCTCAAATCAACGAGGATCTGCAGGCCAAAAAGAAAATCAATATGCTGGTCATTGTTCCCAGGTCACCAGATCACCAAGAGAGCAGCGGAGAGGGCACCTCTAAGAGTGTCTTATCCCTCCAGCAAATCAGCTGTCTTCCTGATCATATTCGACAAGGAGAGAGATTCAAAGACTGGACTGTAACCAGTGCACACTCCACATAAGGATGACCACCACAGAAGAAAATTTTCAGTGTTTCCAAGGAAGTCATGGTCAACAAGCCCCTGACCCTTCCCAACACATGACACAACTGGTAAAGAGATATTGAGAGCCAGCAAAAGAAGGCTTAGGGGAGGCAGATTTTTACCTCCCAGCACTGTTTAAATATTTAATTTATGTTTTGTTGTTAATTCTTGGAGGTGCCATGGACTAATATGTGGTTTTAGCTTCTAATGAACCTAATAAGCTTTAGGTTCTAGTAGCATGGCAATGTTAAAATCCCATATGTGGCACTAGCATGTCCCACGAGTATCTATAATTTTTATCAATTCTCATTCTCCTCTAGCTTCTGTGTCTGTTGTACTTTTCTGTCCTCCCGTTCCCCCTTTTCACTTCCTTGTCTTCTTTTTTTTAAGTAATTTTATTAAATTATAAAAGTTTCCATTTACGCCCCTCTTCCCAACACCCTCCCACTCCCCCCCCTCCCTCTCCTCCTCCCTCTTTGTCCCTAAGGTCAGTCAGGGTTTCAAGCCCTGTGGGAAGTTCAAGATCGTCCCCCCTCCCTCCAGGTCCAGAGAGGGTTAGAGAGAAGGGAGTAGGGGAGGAATGGAGAAAGCTTGGTTGACCGGGATGGGGGGAAGGGAGGAAGGATGAATATGGGATCAGGGAAGAATATATTCCTTGTCTTCTTGAATCCCAGCTCCTGCCTTCAGGTTGCTGCCCCAGAGAGAAGTGAGAGGAGGTCACACCCCTTTCTCGAGGCTGCCAGGCTGTTGACAATCAGTGAGGCTCAGATAGGGATCTATGAGGGCAGAGGCTGAATTTCCCACTAAGGAGGAGGCACCTCCCCTTTCCTTCTTGTTGATAGAGGTTTTGTTTCTTTCATGCTTATATTTTTACTTGTGTTGCAATCAGGGTCCTTTATATAACATCTTGTATCTAGAAAAACTTTAAAAACATAATAGGTAAAACAAACTAAGGATAGATGTGTTTGAGTTTTAGAGGAAAACAAAATAACAAGGAAGGCTGCCTGCAAATCTTAGGAGCTGCCAAGAAGAGAGGTTAGGTAAGAGGAAGAAAGTCATACTTTCTGGAGCTTTAAAAGAAAATCGATCTCCACCAATGGTGCTATGAGGCTTGTAGTCACAGTGTATTCCCCAACAAGTCAGGTTCTGCCACCTGACCTTGGCAAGTCATCTAAAAAAGTCAAATTAATAGAAAAAGCAAAAAGAGGTTTTATTCATTGTGACCACACTGGGGACAAGCATAAAGAGTTTCAAAGATGTCCTACCCTTTCCTGTGCTTATCTTTGTGGTCCAGACAGGAAGTAAGTTTTCAATAGAAGAAAGAGATGCATAACTAAGCAGTCTGGCCAAGGTGTGGGCCAGGGCCTACCTTGTCTCAGGTCTGGTTTTTCTTATAAGGTCACATGCAAGGCAAGCCACTGGACACTCTCCTGGGGGACTCTCTTAATCAGACCATTTAAACTGTTAAGACCTACTCTAGGTGTAACTAACAACCTTCTGACAGCTGCTGCAATCTCTAAGGACATGGGAGAAGGGAAGTTTGCTTTCCATTGCCTGCCTTCCTTCTTGCTGGAGTTTATCTATTCTGCTGCGGTCACTGTGGCATTACTTTGTTGATATTAGATCCAGTTTCTTCAGATTTTTAACATAAATTTAAGATGAGTAGGCCTCCAAGCCGCTAGCATCATATTGAATCTGTTGAGATATTCATTCTATGGATTGACACACTTACTAAGCCTCTCTGGTCTCAGACTGCCATTATTGGATTAGCCCTACTGTATCGTGCAAACCACCATTTAATATATATTCATTCCCTTGGTTCCTCTACAGAACCCTGACTAAATGCAACACTTCACAACTTATAAATCTTTTTCTGGAAGGCAACCTCTGCTTCAGACTGCAAGTTCCTTCTTAGGAGCACACCATACCAGAAACAGACAAACACATTTGTGTCATTCCATAGTGCCAGAATTTATTAATAACAAAACTTCATAAGTTTCCCCAGTTCAATGGCTGCAATTTGCCAGATAATCACACCTAATTTGGTGATCTGATAGTGTCAAATGCAGGTTCTTTTATCTCAATTTTAATTTCTAAATATTTACTCTCACAGCATACATCTCATAGTACATGATAAATACCTTTCTCGAATACAAAGTTTGCATAATGAAGTTATGTTAAGGAGGTTACGAAGGAGTTCAAGAGGTTTGAAAATGTGGTGAGAGAAATACAAGCAGAATCTGTATTGATAAGATAAGGAACTGATAACTAGTCATGGGGAGTCATAGTCCAGGGTCAGTTGGAAGTCCAGCTGCAAGGGGAAGCAGCAGGAAATGGTGTGCTTAGGCCCATCAGGTGAGCATGTGATTGGGCCACATCAACAGCAGGTTACCAATCAAAGCTAAGTCCCCAGGAACAGTCATAAATTCTCTGCCTGTTGCCCCCTGACACAGACAGCAATTGATGGATGATAAGTAGGTTTGGGGGCTACTGTGATAGTGCTGGGTTCCTGCTGTTTTATGGTGGGTGAAGGAGGTTTGCCCTCTCCTTTGTTTGGCAAGTTCTTGACCTGATGTCTGCAATAAGTATTTAATACAAACATGTGTCCTTATTACAGTAAAGAATAGCGTCTGCCTATGGGTGAATACATGTCAGTGTTTTCTCATTTAAGAGTTAGTCCAATGGGAATAATTAATCACCTGGCCAAGGAATCCTACCCACCTACCAGCAAAATGGAATTACATTAAGCCATGCTAAAGAGATAGGAAAAATAATTTAATTATCCCTTTAGTGAGATAATGTCCTTTTCCTTCCCAGAATTCTTGCCTCTAAAGGAGCCTAGAGCCAAGGATATACAGTTTCATAAGTCTGTCCTTTACTGAATTACCCAGAAAACTCTTCCTTTGCTTCTGTATGTCTTTTTTGCAAACATACTTCCCTGACACTTTTTACTTCACTCTTTTTCTAAAGCTGCCCTTCCTGCTATGTTGCTACTTATTCACAATGTAGCTGACCTCTGTGCAGCATAGCTCTAAGGCATGGCTTTTTCTGTCTCTGCTCCAAGATTTACAGCTTTTCTTCCCTGAGATTTTTCTTTTTCAATTCAAATAAAACTGTTCTTGAGCTTTCTTTTGAATCCATTCTTAGAATATTTTGTTTATGAAATAAAGAACTTCAAGAGGGTACCCCAACTTCAGTGTTAATAGCTACAGTTTCACTTCACCCTGGTAAGTCTATAGAATGAAACCCTTCCCACTCCCAGAAACAGTCTCTTGCCTGTCTGTTCCGTGTAGATGGTTCACCTTGGATGAAAAAAAAATTAAACAAGGACAGGGCACCCGTGGGTATGGTGGAGGAGATATGAAGGAGAAAACAGCCAGAGGCATTTGAAAGTGTCCAGACTAAACAGGGCTATGGGGGAAGGTCGGAGAGAAACCAAGAGAAGAGAGAGTTAACAAAGAGAGTGCATGTGAACCTAGAGAACCGGAGGCAAAAAGACTTTGTATCCAAAATCCTGAGGTTATACAGGGAAGAGCAGCTTGGGGAAGGAAAGTAGAAGCCCAGATCAGGGTTTGGGGTGTTTGAAGTTAGTGGGTAGATTTCGAAGTTCTGGTAAGTATAGGACTCTGCAACGGGTAACTTTGATTCTGGGGGATGCTGGGAGACACTGGAAGCTAGTCTGTTTGATATGTTAAATAGGCACCTTAGCCATTTGTCCAGAAATTGAGACCTTACACTAGTACTACTGACAAGGTATTGACATATCTTGTCCTCCTAGGGGTGCAAGCACTTTCCATTATCAAACTTGAGTACAGAGTTGCTTATAAGGACAAGGTGCAGTATGAAAAATTCATGATGTAGCACACACACGCATGCACCATTTTTTCCCTATTTACTCTTCCCAGATAATTCTAGTGAACCAGTGAACCTTTAGTGAACAAAGGAGAAAGTTCCCATAATCCTTCTCTATCTTCTCAGTGATGTACATTTTTATTTTCTGTTAAGTCTTGCATTAGTGTTTCTGTGTTTTAGTATTTAAATGCTATGATCCAAGAAGAGTTAGTTGGTCTTTTACACCTGTAATTTTAGAGAGTGAGGTAGCACTGACTATAGATGGAGGAACCACAATATTGTGCTTTATGAATTATACAAAGATTTCCACAATACTTTCCACAGTACAGCTCTGCTGTTGCAAAACAAAAAGTCAACTAAACTAACAACAACAAAAAATGCTCTTACCTCAAAGAGAATAAGATAATTTATTCTGTAGCTAAATATGAGTGATCATGGCTCAGGGATGATTCAGCTTGCTTCAAATATTGTGTTCCAATATAGTAGCAGTTCATTGAAGTTTTTATAATTACAGAGCAGTGAAAGTCATGAATCAAGTGATGTTTTAACACTGGCAGAACCATGAGTGAGAAAGGTTACAACAAAGTGAGGAAATCTCTGCTTTGGCTCTCAGATCCTATCTGATGACATTTTTTTCACCTTTGGTTTGGTAGAAGCTAGGGATTTGCTAGGTGAGAAATTTCTCATAGTTAGAAGATTGTTAGGTCAAATACAGAAATTGACACAACTGACTAGGGGACAAGATAGCTCAAAATAACGTGACATTCCAACTCTCTTAAAAATACTTGGAGTTCCAATTAATCAGTCCTGGCAGAAGCTTAATGTAGATTCAGGCTCCCTCACCTCCCTTCCTACTGCAAACTTCACTGATACCACCTCTTATCACTTAAGCCACCCTTGCCCCTGTACTGAACAGAGACTTTCAGTTTCATTTCTCAGTCAAAGTCTATTTCTCAGAAATGGTTATTTACAACCACAAGTAAAAGTTGTGTTGTCAACCAGCTGGGTGTCTGTTGATTAACAATGCTGTTTCTACTTCTTCTTCTTCTTCTTCTTCTTCTTCTTCTTCTTCTTCTTCTTCTTCTTCTTCTTCTT